ACAGGCACCCATCCCTAAAGACACCTAGAATTAACTAAACCTCAGCTTTTCCCACATATCTTTATCTTACTATACTCCACACTAGAATACAGAAATAGTGCTTCTTTTCATGAAGTGCCACTTATTCAAGGAGTTATTTTTTCCATAAGACATTTTATTATTTTGAGCAGTTTTACATATGGCTGCCCACAGACTTGAAGAGATAAGTCACGGAAAAGAAATGCAGGGCCACAATCCCTTATCTGAAAACCTGGAGGTCAGATTTGCTTAGGAGGTCAGAGATGCCTCGAAATTCAGACTTAGCGATTCTAGAAAATTAATGTAATGCATTTAGCACACATTATGTAACACTCAGAAATCAAACTCATTAATATAACTTCAGCAAAACTTAGCAATATTCACACTAAATGAGATAAATATATACTATAGAATCTCACATTGGTTCAGGTTAGGGTTTACCACCAATGGAGTATGCAAAAACCCTCAAAAAAAAACCTGTTTTCAGAGATTTTTGGATTTCAGAATTGTCCACAAAGGATTACAGACATGTGAAAATGACTCAAATATTAGAAAAAATAGTCAACCTACTAGTGATCAAAGACATACAAATTAAAACAATCAAGGTACCAATTTTGGCCTTACAAATTGGCAAATAAATTTTTCAGAGAACATGGCAACGATGTGAAAAGGGAGCCCTTTGACCATTGCTGTGAGAAAATAAACTGGGACAACCTTCAGGTCACCAATATTGATGTCATCAATGCCTCAAAAACATGAGTACCTCTGACCCCAAAAATGCCTTTTTGGGAACCCATTTTCTGGGAAGTCATCAATGTCTAGACAAGCTTTATGCATAGATGTTCACTGAAACAAGAGCTTTACAGTTTATTGGAAAATAATCAGCAACAACTGAAATCTCCTAAAATGGAGGCAAAATGAAATAAATGCAATCAATCCATATAACAGAACATAAACAAAAAGCAGCCTTTTTTTTTTTTTTTTTTTTTTGGCGTGTAGGTAAATAGAGAAATCCTGATATGCAATGTTAGGTAAAAAACACAGGACACAAAAAAATTTATATTTGTATTATGATCCTATTCCAGTAAAACATATAGAGAGGAGACCAGAATGAAATAGACCACCAATGCTGAGTACCTTGGAGTAATGAGACCAAGACTGATTCTCTCCTTTTCTCTCCAAACTTTAAATCTTGTGGGGAATTTTCAACAGCATTACATTTTGGCTGAGGGAAAACGAGAAATAAGGCTTGGCTACTTAACTCCCAGTCAACAGCAGCAAACTCATGAATCTGAGGCATCACTCTGGGCTGTTAAAATATTTACGATGAACCCATCGTTGCAAAACCATCACCACCTCTAGAATTAAAACGTTACAGTATGAGTGGTATACATTTATTAGATAGTTCGGTTGAAATTGTAATATGAGTCCAACCTAAAGGGAACTTTGGAGTAAAAAAACAGAAAAAAAAGACACACAGGATAAAAGATATATGCCACTTTACCATTTGCTAAGATCTTTCAAAGACAATAGCTCATCTGATCCCTACTAGCAGCCAGTAGGCTGATAAAGATAGGAGCTGACACATGCCCATTTTACAGTAAGAAAGTGGAGGCAGAGAGAGCCACAATTCCAAAAGTGGCAGGGGCTCTTCTTGACTTTTGACGTCAAGTCCAGGGCTCTGACTTGGAGTCTGATGCTCTTTCCACTCTATCTTGCCATTACCCTTAGTGGTTCTTTATAAACAGAATCAAAAGAAATTTCTCACTTGACAGAAAAACCAAATGATTTAGTGATAATAAGAACAGGCTTCAGAATTGCACAGATCTGACTCAAGGTCAAAATCTAAATTACACATGTGAGTGACTTCTGCAAGCTAACTTCTCAGGCTCAAGTTCCTTATCTATAGAAACAGGAATAATTTAATTATTCCTGTATTTATTACAGGACAGGGTATTATAAAAATTAAATGACCTGAATACATAGATCAGATTCTGCCACAAAACAGGTATAATAAGCACTGCATTCTTTCCTCCAAAAAAGAAGAGTGTCGACTAGGAACTAACTCCAAGTTCCATTTTAGTCCTTGGTAGCCTCACCACACTCATTGTTCCACCTGCTTTCAGCAGCCCACCAAATCTTTACTAATTACTGAAGTGGCCTAAAATAATTAGAAACCACTCAACATAATAGTTTGAACCAATGACAATTTAAATCAGTTCTGTCAGTTTTAAATAATCTCTCAGTATGTAATTAAACTTCAACATCAGACTTAAACAGTTCTTTAGAAAAAACAATGAAATTTTTGTTCTTATCACCTGGGGCTTTGGCCTCTCTCATTCAAATTCAGCTATTAAAACTCTCAAATAGTTGTTTAATTTCTTTGAAGTGGGGGGAGGGAGAGGAAGAAAGGGAGTGACAGGCACTTCTCAAATTTTTCATTTCCTCTTTAAATTAAGTTTGCACATGGAAGCCCAAGCTCCAAGGAGTGCGTTCTCAAAATATTCTGTTTACTATGTATAATAGGAATGTACAGTTGGGTAGCTACCTGGACAAGGGGATCCTAGAATTTAATAAAGCTTATCTTGAGCATCCAAATGAGGAGTCGGGAGTCTGCAGGGCAGCCCACAGAGCCCAGGGAGGGCACTTCATTCACCAGCCCCTGGGCCTTTTCTGCCCACTCCTTTGTAGAAGGCCCTGCCCACTGTCTGGTAGAGAAACTAATAAGCCCAAAGGTTGAGTAACCAGAGAACTTAAGAACATAAATAAGCCAAGATGTGGAAAATCATCCCTTCTGGTGCTTGTGGGTATATAGTTTCAAATGCTGTTACTAAGAGACAGATATTTAATGAGATTCTCCTACTAGGCAGGGAGTAAAAGGCATTGCCACTACTTGCTGTGAAGTTATCTGTGAAGTTATCTATTCTTTTCTCTGCTTCCCACCTTCTGATAACCAAAGAGAATGAACTATGGAATCAAGCTGCTAGGTTATCAAAGATAAAGAAAGATACATATAAAGACACAGACACACACAGACACACAGACACACAGACACACAGACACACACACACACACACACACACACACACACACACACCCCTCTTAGTTGTTCTCCTCCGATTAAATGCTGACTGATATACTAGTCATGTGATGTTGGGCCAATATGTTTCTCTGTGGGTCTCAGTTGCCTCACTGGAAATAAAAATTTCCTAGGGTTATAAGAAATAAGTGGAAAAATGCACATAAAGTGCCCAACTTACAGCTTGCACACAGCTGATGCTCAGCATTACTTCCCATTTCTTTCTCCCTACTTCCCCAACACATTCCCTACAAATATTAACACTGTCTTAGATTTCAAGGGGAGACCAGATGTTGACTGGTCAGGCACCTTCACACAGGCCTCACGTCACGCTGGCACTCTATACCCTTTCCTTTCCACATACCTCATTCTTCTAAAGTGTTCACCTTCATCAGAAAGGTTACTGTGAATTAGATGAAGCTTTCTTCATCACATTCCAGTCTTGAGAGCTGGGAGAGATCCATGGACACATGAACTTACCCTAGGGATGGATTTCTTCAGCTGATGGCTGATTACATGCATCATGTGCTGAATTTTCAACAATTGTTCTCCCAACTTAAGCTCTTTGAATTCTGGAGCAACTGACTAACCCTCTAAAGTACCGTCTACAACCTCTGGTCCAACTTGAACCTGACTATGCACCTACCTGTCTCAGCAATAAAACGCAGGCCGAAAACCAAAATCTCCCATTCAATAATACACGTCACTAGTTGTCATCTCCCCCGGGAGGGGCGGGGGGTGGAGGAGATGGCTGAAGGAAATACAGGTCTGCTAATAAAGACTCAGGAGATGTATTATCCATCTTGTTCCCTTCCTAACATGTTCTGGTTTCTGTGAAAAAGTGAAGGCCAAAGGGATAAGCCAGTTTAAAGGCTGTAAATGACTGGAATCTTCTCAGGAGTGAAGAGCAGTGTATGTGTTTTCATGGAGGAGATAGTTACAGTTGGAAAGCTTCCAGTTGGTTATTATTTGGACCTGAAGAGGAGCGGCTCAAGCTTAGAAGAGCTTGCTGACGTAAGATTCCAGGCCCTGGTAACCCCAATTGGCCCAGAAGGTACAGGTTTATTATTATTTTTAAATTACTGCAGTAAGGTGGCAATTAAGGAGGGGGAACAGTGGTAAAGAATCTCTGGTGTTTATGGTTATAAAAACAAGTGTGAGAGAGGACTTTTGTTAAAGTTACATGTCCTCTTGGATTTCAATTAAAAACTCCTGCCCCAAGTTCATCATTGGGGACGATACTTCATCATCTCAGCTAGTGGCTTCCTGCTGTGACCACAGGTTTCTTTTGTGGTGACAGGAATCGACTCAAAGAAAAGAAAAATGTAAATTTACAAACGCGTCTTCTTTTTACAAGCCCGGTTTATACAAGATACGTGCGAAGGAATCTGAAATTCCCTACCTGTCACAAGAATCCATCGACCACTAAAATAAATAGAAACTTAGAAAGGAAAGACATTGAACTCCCCAAGATTTTAAGATATAAAAGGGGGGGTGGGCGGCAACAGCGCACCCGGTCCCGTGTCACGATCTTCCGCTCGCGGGGCCTTTGAGGACAAGGGCGTCAGAAAGGGGGTTAGCAGGGCTCCGAGGTGCCCAGCGGAAGCGCACCGGAGGAAGTCAAGACCAGGCCGGGTCCCTACACCCCGGACAGCCCAGCGGTGGGGGTTGGGGGTAACAGGTCCTCGGAGGAGCCAGCGAGAGGAGTGAAGGCGGGAGCCGGGCGGGCGGGAAGGGAGGTACCCGAGCCATCGCCTCGCGCCGCGCCCGGGCCCGGACAGCCAGAAGTTCAGCGCGGGGACCCCGCAGCTGCGCCAGGACGAGAGCAGCTCGGGGCGCAGCAGGGCTGCAGTCCCGACCCCTTGCCTCCTCCAGCGCGCCCCGGCCCTGACACGGTACTCACCGGGGGCCACGAGCGGCGAACTCACGGCGCCCCTCACAAAGACGGCAGCGGCGAGGACGGCGGACCCCGGGAGTCCCCGCGGGGCCATCACCGC